ACCTAAGACGCAGCCGCGGTCAACATTTAAATGAAATTATCTTCAAAAAGTAAATGTCATGGACCAATCTAACGTTTCAAATAAAGAACCGATGAGATTTTGCAAATTTTATGCGTTTTTTTTAAAAAAAAAGTTATCAAGCTCTTAAAAAATCACCCGTTATATAGTTTTATTTGCAAATGATATCAGACTTTTAAAAATTTTCTGGAGGCCATTCCATGTAAATCTTTATATCTCGTAACAAAACGTTATTTAAAATAAATTGCCCTTTTAAATAAGTTGGGATTTAAATGTTTACCTACGACAAGTAACAAAAAAATAACTAAAAAATGCCACATGCTAGCTACATACATACATATATGGATATATTTATTAAAAAATCTTTTTGGTAACTTTTACATTTACTCAGACTGTACCGAGGATTATATGAACTTCAAAGAATTCCTTGAATTAAAAGGGTGAACTAACTGAAGTGACAATGAAGCATTCGATGGTTACAAGTTATCCCGAGCGATTTGGTCAGATAGGCACTGTTGCTATTATACACAGAAGTAGTGTAGAAACGCAACCATCGAGGAGAGCACTTTATGCTGACGAGACCTCAATGACTAATAGATGGAGAGTCAGTCTTGCACTTAGAGCTATTAAATGGCAAGGGGAAATATCTACACCATATATCGCTAGATTACCTAGGAATACCATGAAACCGGGACGTTTCCTCAAGATCGAAGGACGTGTGAAATTATTGCCAATATCCTTTTATATTAACTTACAAAGCAATGTTTATCATTGGCCACCGCCAGTGGTGGCATTTCATCTGGGCCCACGATTTTCGAATAAATCAGAAAACATATCAAGGGCTACAATTGTTCGATGCGCATGGTACGATGGCGCCTGGTCGCCTGAGGAACGTTCATGTATTGATACAGAGTTTCTGCCGGGGAAAGCTTTCCGTTTGGCTATAGCTTGCGAGGAAGATGCGTACGAGGTGTACTTGAATGGCAAATATTTACTGGATTTTAAGTACCACATGAGACCTGAAGTGGTGGACACAGTCTACATACAGGGCGAAGTTAAGCTACGTTGGGTATCTCTACACAGCAATACTCAACAAGGTCGGAATATACTGGCAAACTTTTTACCAAAGCGCAGAAGTTTCGTCAATAAACGGTTATCAAATATTGACACTTCGCAGAGAAATACATACCAATATACTTGAATGATTAGTAGAATATTTTTGTGTTTCTGCAAAATCAGTGTTAAGAAAGAGTTGTATGTATTTACTAAAGGTGTATGTATTTCCTTATTTGAAATTTTTTTCTTTTTTAATTTTTTAGTGTCCAGTTTTCTTTTTGGGTACTGAATACTTGGATTGGTAAAAATAAATAAACAAGTACCTTTAGTTTCAGACCAATATTAAAACAAAATAAAAATTGGGTTTTTTTCCAATAAGTAACGGTCGCCCCTCGAGAGAAAACTTCTCATAAATATACAATCGCCGTTCCCAGTCTGCGTAAAACTGTAGGTGGTTCACCTTCCAGAACTCGTTTAAATTTTCTAAATTTTAACTGTAAACAGTGGAGTAAGTACCGAGACGGGAATGCGCTGACCGTTTGTTTGATGACAGTAGATAGTTCCTGGAACAAGAGGGTTCATCTTCTTTACTAGTTTCAGTATCATTTGGCCTACTTTGGACATCCGTCACTAGGTAGCCGTGTTTGTTCCCACAGAAATTCTCCCTTATCTTGAAACCTTCCGTAGGTTATGCGGGCAGCTCTGAAATGAGTTTACACGGAGGCCACAGAAGCCCATTGCGATGGTCCGACGGCTTTCCCATGCCTATCCCTGGTCTTTAAACCATACTGCTCTCTGCCGAATCCTGGTAGACCCTCCAATGATGTTTTCCTATGCTTTCTAGGCTCTGGATTTCACATTTTCTTATTGGCGTTTCCGGAGTGCAATGGGGTATAGTCGTTGTGCTGGGCTTGCAGTTACAGTTGCAGGGCTAAACTCAATCCCGACTCTTGCGTCCTCGTTCGCACACTCAGGGCAACGTGAGCAACCCGTGTGCTAGATGTGGTAACCAATCCTTCGGTGGGACCATTCCGACTTATTCGGTTTAAAGGCTCACTGAAGTCTGTAGCATCTATTCACCTGTAGGCCTGGCTGCAAGTGGGTGTCTGCCTTGGAGCAAGCAGTTTCGCTATTCGGCTGTGAAACCACCCCCGTTCCAGCAATGGATTGTGCGCTGGGTTCGGGACCCACAACGTAAAACCTCTTCCAGTGAAGAAATTCATCTAAGATTCGGAGAGAGAGAGATGATGACCACGTCAAACGTTCAAAGGACTAAGATTTGAAGACCCTTAATGGGGAAGCTGCCTCTGCCCGGCTGGTTGATATCCTCGTAAGGACAGAAGCTGACACCACCGCAATCCAAGAAAGGCGTTAAACGGAGTAAGGCAAGAAATGATTGGGGACTTGCGATGTCTACTACAGCTGCCACGTAAACGAGAGGAAACTCGGTGTTGGATTTGTGGTGGGAGAAAGACTCCGTAGCCGAGTACTTTCATTCACCCTGGTGGACGAACGTCACGTCACAATCCTTATCAGAGCNAAGGAAACTCGGTGTTGGATTTGTGGTGGGAGAGAGACTCCGTAGCCGAGTACTTTCATTCACCCTGGTGGACGAACGTCTCGTCACAATCCTTATCAGAGCAAGATTTGCGCCCACACCCCCACCGAAAGAGAAGGACGAGGTGGCAAAACGGACGTGACAAAAACACAAGTGGTTTCAGAGTGCATACATGTAAAAGTAAGCAAAACTCTGCGAATCCTGTGACGTTTTCCTTTCTTAAACATTCTTTAAATAAAGTAAAATTACGAACCATTACAACCAATTCACTTTTAATCAGAAGCTGTTCCTTGTTGGGTTTGATTTTGAATTAAAATTTGATAACGGAAGTGAGATTTTTTGCCCATACAATATTTTTACTAGCAATACATACATATATGTACATATAAATAATTTAATTTTTTCAGATATTTTCTCCACCGTTTCGCGTTTTGATAATTTTTTTTTGCCATCTGAATACCAAATTTAAAAGTTATAAAGCCCTTTGAGCTCATGCACTTGCCTTTGAGGTTTACATATCAAAATATAGTTTATTTTTTAACAAAAACTTAATAAATCCAAGTTTATATCTTTGTGCAGCATTTAAAAAAATCGACAAACTTTCGTAAAAATTTCAAGCTTTTTATTTAAATATTTTGAGTATACAATTTTGTAGCCCTTTCAATTTTAGTACAATAAAGTGTAAGTTTAAAGTAGCTGGGACTTACCGTTGATTTTTGTAAATTTGTTTGTTGACGATGTTGGCTTCCTTAGTAAAAGGGAGATACTTATGCTAATTCGGTATAAAATCGTACTGTGTGTAGATAAATCTGAGCGCTGGCATTACTGCCTACAATTGTATGCCTTTGTTTTGATTATCATTGTTTGACAATTAAAAGTAAAATTTATAATTTGAGAAAATAAATCGTATTGTGCAAATACATATTTACATACATGCGTATATTTTGCGTATTTCATCGAGCCTTAGCCGCATTTGCTTATCCATTTGTAAGTACAAGTTAAATAAATCAAAATTATGTACATAAGTATGTATGTATTTTAGCAGTTTTTATTTCATACATAGTTTTTCATCCATTTCAAAAGCTGAGTTTTTGTGACCGTTGAAGCTGCACTTTCGCTTTCATCCAATCCGCATTTTTGCACTAGAACCGCATACCACAGCTAGTGAGCTCACGTTTATCTCTTCGTCCAAGTCCTCGTCATTTTTGTAAGTACTACTGATTAGAAAAGTTGTGTGTGGATCCCATGCACGACTTAAGTGAAACATCGTCCTCCTATGTGGGTACAAGTTCTCCATATTATATAAGTATTTTTCTGCATGATAATAAGCATTTATCTTAATAGATACTAATCTCAAACTTAATCTTAGAGCTTAAACAGACGGCAACGTTGATCCGGATCAACTCGGGAATCGACTGCAGTTGATCCGGATTAAGTTCCAGTTAATCCCGATCAACGATGCCGTCTGCTTAAGCTTTTAGTCATCATCTTAATCTTAATTTTAATCTTAACCTTAGTCTTCTTAATCTTCTTCTTCGTCTTGATTGTGCTCTTAATTTTAATCTTATTGTTATTCTCATTAGTCTTAGCATTAATCTTAATCATAATCGCAATATTATCTTAATCGGCAATCTTAATGTTAATCTTATTCTTAGTCTTAATTTTAACCATATTCTCAGTATTAATTTTAATCTTAATATAATCCTAATATCACTCTTAATCTTAATCCTAATATCACTCTTAATCTTAATCCTAATCTTAAACTTAGCTTAATCTTACTCGCAATCTTAATCTTAATTTTATTCTTACTTTTAACCTTAATCTTAATCTCAATTTTGATCTTAATCCTTATATTTATCCTAATCTTAATATTAATCTTAAAACTAGTCTTGATCCTAATCTTACTCGCAATCTTAGTCCTAATCTTAATAGACTTAGTTTTAACCTTGTTCTAAATAGT